CCCAGGAGCGCCTGGAAGTCCAGACGGGAAGCCCGCTGCGAGTGAGGTTGAGGTGGCTCGGGCCCAGTTGTACCTGCAGATCTTGAGGAGCAACCCGACCGGGATACGAAGGCAAGAACCTCAACGAACTTTGTCCCCGGGTGCAGCCCACGGGAGTCCCCGAGTTCCTGCAGCAGTGGTGGGGAAAACAATAAAGCTACAGATAACAGAGAGAATAAGTCTATTCTCACCGGTCTAACGGCATTGCAGTGGTTGAATAAAGAGCGCTTCAAATTAGGTTAGGGTTGCTAGGCGCCCGTGTACACTTGCGGCTAAAATTAGCACAATTATTATATGGACCATTTTCAACTGGAAAAGAACGGACTTTGGGATCTATCACGTCTGTCAACAGACTTTCTCAACACGCCTGACCATATACTGTATTTGCACGAACAAAGCGACCGGGGTCTGGCACCTGAGATTGTTCAAAAAGAACTTCAGGGTACAAGCATTCAAACGTTCTGGCTCAAGCTTCAAGAAGCACGCGTCCATCCTCGTTGAGATGCAGTAAGCTCCAACCCTAGCTTGTGTAGTAGTTATTTCCCGCAGCTTGCAGGCGAACACACGCGATAGTACTATAGCACGCCCTGGCTTTGTTCTAACCTCCACTGTTGATATTCAGGTATGAAAATCACTACTCGTAGTATACCATAACAGTCTTCAAACCCGTTGCCGCAGAGTTAACAGCTATGCAGTGTGCCTGAAGCCAGCGAGACCTACAGCTAATTATGATGGGAGGGTCAATCCAAGGCCCTAAGTCTGGCGTCATCACACACACCTTGACCTTCAACCACCACCATCTACCTTAGACGCCCACGTCGTTTGAGTCTCGTTCCCCAATTCCGTCGCCCATTGTTACGTTCTCACTTCCCTATCCCCTTCGAACTTATTTTATCTGTTTAGGTGCTGGGTCCGCTACCGCCTGAAGAGCGGTGATGGGCCCAACGACGCTTCTGGAAGACCTCGGGCTGGGGGTCGACCGTGAAGCGTCCAGCCACAGCGTCGAGTTACCACCATCGCCAACACATCACCAACAGCTAGACCCATGCAAGAGGTCTATGCTGTCGTCTCTGCCCAGCGGAACGTGGCCGCAGAGTCATTTGGCGGAACCTGGACCCTTCGGAGGAAAGGGGACACAGGGAGAAATCCCACAGGCAGCCTGGCTGCTTGAGACCCCCAACAAGTTAACGCTCGGGAAGGCGTCTCACTTTATCCTGGGAAACCAGATACACAAACGCCGCCTCACATGCGGCATGCTTGAGACGTGGTCACCACCTGACTTGTCAGGGCTCGGTCCAGGCTCTCATCACGTGATCACAGGTGTAGACCACCTAGATACATTAAAATTGTTACCTAGCCGTAGGCTAAACAGTTTAATATACACCACGATACTTGAGAGGATGACAGGACGCAATGAACTCAAACAGCCACTTGAGTTCAGAGTCCAACCGTCCCCCCACATGATGCACTCATGTAATAATTACCCACTACCTCGTACCATTGCCTATGAGTAGTACAACAAATGACATGGACGTGGATGCGGTACCGAAAGACCGCCCTTGTGACCAAAATAACAACTTTATGTCGCCGGAGATCGAATTCCAATTCGATCTTTCATGCGACGAAAATGATACGACAGACCAAGGAATAAATCACGAAGTGGATTACCTTGAAAATATGTACCAGGAAAACTGGGACACGGATGACGTCGAGGACTCCCCCTCTGATGAAGATGACGATACGAATGATTTACCGCCCCCCCTTGACATCGACCTGGAAAGGGCGGAGGTGGAAGCCAGGGTTAAAAAACCCAATAACGCTCAACCCCCTACACCCCGGGATGATAATAACAGACCATTCACCGTGGTCTCCTTTAACGTTCAGAAATCGAAGGACAACCTTCAAATCTTCTTAGAACAAAATTATCGAACGGCAGATGTCGTGCTAGTACAAGAACCCTTCTGGGGTTATATTAAACAAGTAATGTCTACCACGTCGAAAGACGGGGACGAATACCACCAGGGAATAACCCACAGACAGTACATGTTCCTTGGAGCATCTGAGAAAGGACGTGTGTGCACCATCGTCAATAGACGGTGGGCGCACCTCGCACCGAGACTTAACACAGACATTGTAAATCATGATGATGCCCAATGCCTGGAGCTAACCATGCCCAACAAACAAATCATACGTATCTTTAACGTGTACAATGATTCCAAAACACACAGTGCTCAGCACTACCTAGAAAATAAAGCCAGCAACATGCCAGAAATACACCTCATGGCAGGCGACTTTAACTTACGTCATCACATGTGGGACGCCACAGTTCCCATTGGAGCTAGGGCCAACCGCCAAGCGGAAGACCTCATCACGATGTGCACACTGGACATGAACCTGTCCTTGAGCACATCACCTGAACACGCTCATACTTGGTCGTCCAACAGAGAGGACCAAAGCGATGGAACCCTAGACCTAGTCTGGACCAACAAAGACATCAATGTTATAAACATTGAACACCGACATGATCACAAGTTAATAGTGATCATTGCCCAGTATTTGTTCGAATCGACCTGGAAACAGTCGATAAAATTACATACCACGGTTAAGAAA